GGGCTACGTGCTGGGCGCCCTGGGCTCCCGGGCCGGGCTGAGCAGGCTGTGCGAGAGCAGCGACGAGGAGGAGCCGCCCGCACCGCGGGAGGGCCGGGCCGAGCCGGGGCGGGCCGGGGAGGAGGAGGACGGGGAAGAGGCCTCAGACCCCTCCGAGGGGAGTGATGTGGAAGGAGAGTGGGAGAGCGAGAGCTCGACCCCCGAGGACGGCAGGGAGCCCGAGGGCAGCGAGCCCGCGGCCGAGGAGCGGCGGGAAGAAGAGGTAGGATGTTCACCTCGGATTAACGCCAACCTTGTCAAGGTACACGCCCCAGCCGGAGCGTTGAGCGGAGTTTGCACCGCCTGTGTAAAGCGCGGGTGTGTCAGGCCACGCAGGACGTTGTCGTGGCTCTAAAGCTCGGAGGACTGAGCAAGTGTTGCCTGCAGAGTCCTGGGGAAAGCTCAGGCGTGAAGGAGGAGAGTTTCCCCAGCTCAGGGTGGCCTTGTTTCTATGTACGAGATCAGCAGATAAAAGGAAATACCCCATCTTTAAGAGTTCGAGAACATGGTATAAAACTTTTGCTAAGAGCAAGGAGAGCTTGTGTTAAAGTTAGCAACCTTTTGCAAACTCAAGTGTTAATTCGGGTTGGTCCCACAAGTTCTGCTTGCTTTTAGGTCTTGCACCACAGGTGGAGGAGAGGAAGGCAAAGGGGTCATTTAGCCCACATGTCACTAACTTAGACTGTTAGTACATCTGTAGCTGATAAAAGCAAAACCTAAGATGTCAGGTTTTAATAACAACAGCTTGAAGAAAATTTCATGTAAAGGGAAGAGGGGTTTTGCTGTCATCAGGTTGGTCCAGAAGAGTAACTTGTTGCATGCTTCTTTATGAAGTTGTTTCTTTGACATGAGTTATTAGTAAAATACACACTTAACTAAAAGCTTGGTATATTAATCTTAAATAGAAATTTATATTTGTGTTTGAATATTTAATATAATAGTCTCATTTAATATCTTATTTTATTGCTTTCCTGGCAAGAGTCCTCCTCACAGTGCTACAAAGTATATTCCCCCTCAAGTAAGGAAAGCTCAGGAGACACTAGATGACAAGAAAAGAGAAGAATTGGGAAGACTGAAGAAAATGGTGAATGGTCTCATTAATAGGTAATGTAATAAGGGAAGTCATTTATCTTTCTGCTTTGATGTGACTGCTCATCATTCAAAGAAAAGTGGCAAGGATGTGACTTTTCTCTTCACAAACTGATTTTAAGTTGGCAATCATGTCTGCTATCTTTAATAATAATTATCTTTGTTGATATAAATTCTTCAAAGTTGGTCATTACAGAAGTTGAAAAATCTAGCAAATAATTTAAGACTGGGCTGAATTCCACACAGCAGTTAACTGCAAGTACTAGGTATAATTCACAAGTGTCAATTGGAGTATGCCTATTAAAAAAACTCATAGTGTGAATTGTAATTCCCCCCTAAAAAAGCACGACTTAGTTTTTGTTAATTAAATAACATTTCAAATGTGTTCTAATTGTAAAGTATTTTGAAAAGAGGTAATCCATTGGGATTTTCTTTTATTTGTGTTATCTATAAAAAGTAGACTACAGTATGCAGTCTGGTCAGTGATTTAGGTTTTGTTATACCTTACATGTTAAAAAACTATGAAGTATTTTTATACTTATTTTTTCCAAAGACTGTGATGTGCCATAGATACAGCTGGTAAGAACTAAGTCTGTTTACAGACATTAAGCACATTGACAGTGTTTTGTAAATACTGCTGCTAATCTGGTTTTCCATGTAAATATTAAAAAAAAACAGACCACAACAAACCACATCCCATTATTAAACATGTTGTAATTTTCATAGTTTAGTGAACACAGCAAAATACAAAAGGTCCCTTCCAGTCAGCTTTTTGATCTTTCCCCTTAAGCCATGCTAGTTTCTCTAAAAATAATAGGTTGTTTGTTGGGTAAATTAAAAATTGTGGAGCTGTGTAAGGAGAAGAAAAAGTGAGTGTTGTGTTTTGTTTCTCAATAGGCTGAGTGAACCGAATTTGCCCTCCATTAGTGGACAGATGGAAGAGCTCTACATGTCCAACAGCAGAAAGGACATGAATGAAACCCTGACAGAGACTCTCCTGAATGCCTGTGTCACTGCAGTGGCCATGCCTGCAAGACTGGTGATGGAGCATGTCCTTCTGGTCAGCATTCTTCATCATAACGTAGGAATTGAGGTAATTCTTGTGGCTGAGAATAATTTTGTCTACTAATAAGTATTGTAGAGTGATTTCCTTGATACTTCGTTTGAATTGCCTTTTAATTTTTTATTGTGTGCCACTGAAAAGCATCTCTGTATTAATTTCTTCAGTGTTTGTAACTTATTTGTTAGATGTCCACAGGTGAAAGGGACCAAGTCTGTTGCTTTATGTATAATTTTTTTTGTCCATGAGTTGCCACTGGTCAAGTTACAAAAACATCACTCTTTCATCAAGCATCCATAAAACTAATTTTTTTAAGCTTCAGGTTTTCTCCTCTTTAATTACACTAATCCATTTCTTTTCTCTTGGGTATTTGAGGTTATTGTGCTTGAACAGTATGCATCCAGATAAGGAAAGTATTACAGTTACAGAAATCCTTTTACATCAGAAATATTTTTTAAGTCAAATAATGCAAATCATCAGTGTAATTAACTAAGTTTATCAATGACTCCACAATATCAAAAACTTCAAAAAGGATTTTTTTTTTGAGGTTTTTCTTTTGTGGTTTTAAATCTGATGAATGATGAGATAAAATACCTCTTGCTTACTGCTAAGAAGAAGCTGACACTACTGATGCCCAAGGGGAGATTTTAGCTAATTTTAGTGAAATGGCTCTAAGGAAACTGAAGTGTTTCAGCACCATGTTCCCAAAAAGTTACATTTTTTTTTTCCTGCATCTTAATGTAAAAGATGTACTGATGCAAGTCCTTCAATTCATCGGTGTGACCTTATGCTCTCTCAAACTGTATTAAATATCAGATGCTATTACAGCAGCTTTCTCCATGCAGCCTTGCCATTATACTTCTTTTCTTCCTCTTTGCTGCTTGAAAGGCAGTTCTGAGTGCAAATATTAATATTACAATGCTGTTTTAAGAGAGAAACACAGGCTTTTTAGAAGCTGGAACTTTTCACAATACCTGGTAATAGTTTTAGATACAGGTTTTAGATATAGGTACACTTAGAGGTATTGGAAATACATAGATGCGATACAGACTGTCTTCTCTACTACTGACTGTTACACAGCATCTTTGAATCTGAACATAGTATTTAAGTATACTATGAAACCCTATGATTTTTTCTGTAAAAATAGAGTATGTGTTATGCCAAAGTGTTTTAGCACAGCCACATTTAAGATCAGTGTGAACAATGCAGGAGTTGACATTCCAGTAACTGTGCATTTGTGCAATACGATCATTGGATAGTTAAAATCTATGCTGGTCAAGACTTGTAATGCAGGTCAGTACTGGGACTGAAGGTTTTCATAAGAACAATCAACAAATATTAGCATTGGAATAATGGGGAAGGGTCTTGTTTAGCAATAATGTGTTCAGTATCTATCTATATTTTGGTATGCTTTCTAATTCTAGTCTTTAGCATCAGTTCTTTCTTCACAAATACAGAGATTCCGGTATTTCTTTTCCTAACTGTACCAGTGACAAATGGTTAAGACTTATTCCCACTTCAGAATCAGCCTAACCTCATGCTCAGCAGCTGTGAAAACTTGGTATGTTGGGAGTTGTTTTACAATATTATTTTTTTACCCTCCTGTTAAGTATTTCGTTCTGGAATACAGAACTCTGATACATCTGATTTCTGACATGCAACTTTCACTGGATGAATTACTAGCAGTAGCAGCATGCCAGCCTGACAGCTAATCCTAGTATGTGTCTATGAAAATTATGTAAATAACTTCTGATGTATGTGTACTCTAAGTTCATAACACTTGCTTTTCTTGCAGAGACTTTAAAAGGCATATACGAGGTGTCAATAACATACGCTTCAAGGAAAGGTTGTGCCACTTAAATATCTGTGTATGTAAATGTAGCACATCAATATTGGTTGAGAGGAGCAATAATATTTCTTTAAAATAATTAGCGGCAGTGTCCCAGAAATGAGTATTTAACACATCTGTAAAATCTATTTAGGGTTAACTGCTGGATTTTTAAAAATTTTTTTTCTCCACCTTAATGGAACTGTTGCCAGGTTGGTGCTCACTTTTTGGAAGCTGTGGTGAAGAAATTTGATGAATTCTGTAGAAGTGATGATGAAGGGAAAGAATGTGAAAATCTGCTTGCCTTGATTGCTCACCTGTATAACTTCCACGTGGTTCATTCCCTGCTGATCTTTGATATTCTGAGAAAGCTTGTTGGCATTTTCACTGAAAAGGAGATCGAGCTGATTTTGTTTCTTCTGAAAAATGTGGGGTTTTCCTTAAGAAAAGATGATGCATTGGCCTTGAAGGAACTGATCACTGAAGCCCAGAGGAAGGCAAACTCAGCAGAGAAGAAATTCCAGGATCAGACTAGGGTACGTGTGTGTTTTAAACATTCTTCTGTACTAAATAGACTTTAAATAAGCACTTTGCTATGTGTATTAATTTACCAAGAAGTTTTCTGCTATACTCTATTTATATTCTAAGTTGCCATTAGTGTTCTGTTGCTGTGTTCTGTTATTTGCATTCTTCTTGTCTGTCTTTTTCCATTAGTTCTTAGGACACGGACACCAAAATGGTTGTAATGGGTGAGACTGGGACTGTTTTGTCTTATGCAATAAATAGTACTTCTCTTTCCTGATACTTTGTACACTTCAAAAAATGGTCACTGAGGCATCATGTTTATCAGATTAAGCTTTGAATTGAAGCTTGAACAAAAATTACCATAGTAGGAGTTAAAGTAAACATCCTTCTCTGTGTTTGTATTTGTGTAATCTAAATTGGGATATATATTGCCAGCTGAGCTGTTTTTTCTCACAGAATAATAATTTCAAAGTAGACTCTCCATTAAAAAAATGTAGACCACATAATCCATAACAATATTTCTTTTTCCAATAGGTTCGTTTTATGCTGGAGACTATGTTGGCACTAAGGAATAATGACATGCGTAAGATTCCTGGTTATGATCCTGAGCCAGTTGAAAAACTCCGCAAATTGCAAAGAACACTGGTGAGAACTTTCTTGACGCATGTAATAAAGCTGTTCTTAAACCAGAAGTAATTATTTGTATTGTGTGTTGGCCTGGTGGGCTATACTATTTCTGAATTCATTTCCAGTACCTGAAGGGGCTACAGGAAAGCTGGAGGGCAGCTTTTTACAGGGGCATGGAGTGATAGGATGAGGGGGAAAGGTTTCAAACTGAAAAGAGGGGAGGTTAGATTAGGTAAGAGGAAGAAATTCATTCCTGTGAGAGTGGTGAGGCACTGGAACAGGTTGCCCATGGAGGTTGTGGATGCTCCTTCTCTGGAGGTGGTCAAGGCTAGGCTGGACAGGGATTTGAGCAACCTGATGTAGTGGTAGGTGTCCCTGCCCATGGCATAAGTGTTGGAACTAGATGATCTTTAAGGTCCCTTCCAATCCAAAAAAGAATATGAAATAGAGCAGTCTGTAATGCTCCTGGGCAAAAATCACTTTTCAGATCATTATGTATTATCTCCTGTGTCCAAGTCAAGTGAGCAGTCAAGCTGAACCATTTGAGAAGGGACATAATACTTAGTGAAAACCTTTGCTTCCAAGTCTGTACATGAAAAAGAGAATGTGGGATGTTTAATCATTATGCAGAAGAAATGAGTCATTATGACAGGTTCTTTTTTTCCATAGATTTTGAATGCAGGTGCTTGCCTCTAAGTTCTAGAGTACTTCTGGTGAAGTCTTAACACTTCTGAAAACCTGGATATATTTTCTGTCCTTTTTTTGGTGGAGAGAGGGCAGTTTGTCTAGAGCAGCAGAGTATAAAATAAACCCCAGCATGAAAGTACTTTTTTCTTTAGATTGAGAACTAATTCATTTTCACAGGACACAAAGCTGGTTTTAGAGTCCCTGTATCTCCAACCTAAAAATCACACTTGTCTGCAACACCTCTAGCATCTTAATTTTCAGAAATTTGTAACTGCAGGATATGCGTATCAGTGATAATAGGACAGGCAAAAATAAGCTGGTTAACCTAGTTCTGTAGAATTTCCTCTCTTGAATTTTTGCAGTACTTAGTGCACTTCTAGCCTCCATTTTTGAGAATTAGGTTTTTTTAAGAGTTGTTGTGTTTTTTTAATTTTCCAAAACATAAGGCAATTTGTCATGTCATTTTTATTTTATCACGTGTTCAAACAGAAAATCATCATCAGATTTTAAGATGCTGTAACAAATTTTTAAAGTCAGCATCAGGTCTGAATTCTGATCAAGTTTTATGATTGGAAGACTGCTACTTTTTAAATTATCTCTTTTTAAAAATCAAGCTTTTAATGTAGATTGAAACAGCTTCTTGTATTTGAGAAATAAGAGCATATTGGAAACATGTAAATTCTTTCCAGGTTGCTGACAGAAATGATAGTTGGGGGGAAATGTGAAGACTTTAATTAAGATTAAGTTGTTTGTTTTAAAGTAATTCTTAAAGTATTGGGGGTTTTTTGTGGTGGTGTTGTTTAAAGAAAATTCAAATAAAAGATTTTGGGGTTTTATGCATTTTGTTACTCCAGGTTCGCAGCAGTGGTTCTGGGAAAGACACTGAGCTCCGTGTCTCTCTGGAATCTCTTCTCAGTGCCGATCGGGTTGGTCGCTGGTGGATTGTAGGGTCATCCTGGAGTGGAGCACCAATGATCAATGATACACAGAAGAAGACTCAGGAAAAAGTGCATGTGGGAAAGGTAAATCTGAACAGTCCTAGTTGTAAGTCTACGTGCTTGTGGTCTTTTGAATGTTCTTCATTCAGACGAGTCGGTTCATTTCAAAGCCCACCTGAAAAGCCCAGCAATAACATCTGCTAGCTCTCTAAGCTTTCATCCCATCCCATCAGGGTCCATGGACTTATGGATGTCCGGTTCGGCCAGGTGGTCTCTAACCTGCTCAAATATTATGGTATAGCTTGTTTTTTTCTTACCCTGTGAAATTGCAAAAGTAACTTGTTATGTAAGTGGAAGAAGAGGCTTGACCTAAAGTGCATTTGCTAGTATGAATTCTGACCTGTAATGTCTGTCTGCAGGTGACATACAAGCTGATCCTAAAAGTAGTGTGGTGACTTGCATTCGAGAAGCAAGTCTTAAAAATTGGCACAATTAAAATACATTTCCCTAATTGAAAAAGCTCCTGGTGGTGCATATGTCTCTGGACAAAAGGTCAGGACCCTTGGATTAAGGCTTCGTAGTTTACTGGTGACCTTCATTAATGATCTTACTTGATGCTGCACAGAAATAGCTTTCTTAAAGCAAGCCCAAAGGAAATAGCATTTACTTTTTTTTTTTTTTCAGGTGAGTTCAAAGATATTGGAGCTTGCTCGGAAGCAGAGAATGAATACTGATATCAGGAGAAGTATTTTTTGTGTCTTGATGACAAGTGAAGACTTCCTGGATGCCTTTGAAAAACTTCTCAAGTACGTAGAGAGAACACAGAACTAAAATAGCATTAGCTGCATTGGAAAAATAACATTTCTGGTCTGGGCTTAAGAGCATTTAATTGATGATACCGTTAAAGATGGGCATAGCTAGGGATCCACATAGAGTAAAAGGGTAGGAGAGGAACCAAAATGCTGGTGTAAATATTAGTAGAGGGCAGGCAGAACCAACTGTCAGTCAGAGGAAAGCAGTGTTATTGTCACTCATGCCTGTAACTGATTTACAGCATCTTTTGAGTTGAGGAGCCTGTGCCTTCTCGCATCAAAGGTTTGCATCACAGTCTGGCAGATGGCAGGCTGTTGCAGGCTTGCTTCCTTACAGAGGCAGCCCAGAAGCCCCTTCAGAACATCTCTTGGTTTTGTTGCTGGATTTCTGTACTACTGCCACTTCCTTTCCACCTTGTTAAGACATCCTGCGTGTCTCTGTCCGTACTTGCTTGACCTGGTAGTGTTCTAGCACATCCACTTCCTTCTTGCAGAATGTATTAGCTTTGGATTTGCTCCAGGGCTGTATTTCATGTTAAGACTAGTTTCCTTACCATTTGGCAGACAGCTCTATGGAAGATGTGATCAGGGAAAAGCTCAAACTAAGCTATTCTATTGTGTCTATCAAAATATTAATTTTAAGTCTGCAGTAACTGAGAGGGGAGAGATCAGGTCTGAACTTTTCTGTTGCACCCTTGTAATTCAAGGTAATCATCTTACCAGGATGGCATGCAATTATTTAATTTGCTAACCAAACCAAAACAGACTTTGTAATAAAGTCAACTAATATTTGATTAAATGCCACTTCTGCAAAACACAGCTTGGATTTAAGACTGCAATGGAGTCATTCCAATATCTTAATATGGCCTGTTCAATTAAAAGAAATTAGCTGCTGCTGCTGCAGTTCTTGCCAAGACCTGGTAATTCAATTTGCAAATTGATCCTTGACTCTCATCCATGCTATTTAAACTAGTATACAAATCTGTATACATACAGGCTTGGTAGAAGGACTGACTACAGGCTACCTGGTGTGTGTTGGTACTGTTTTTATAAAGCAAACTCAGAGACAAAGTCTCACATCTGACAGAGTCCAATGGAAAGTACACAGAATTGTCAGTGAAGTGAATTAACTTCAATGTGAACATGTGTTCCACGGTGCGTGGGAATTTATGCTCATGTGTTTGATGTCAGTCTCATAAGCAGAAGTATGAGAAATATATAAAGAGGTATTTTAACTGCACTTGTTGATTTATCTGTCGCTAGGTCTCTGGCAGAGTTGAGGTGTGACTAAATGGTCATTTAAACCGTTTAAAATTCAGGCTTCTATAGTTTTGCTTGTCTTTTTCCTCCTTACAGCAAAATAATGTAAGTAGTTTAAAGCACTAACAGCCCTCTGAAGTGGCTCAGCTTGTGATTGCAGAAGTGTCAATGTGAAGGAAGGGCTGGGAACATAACTGGAGATAAAGCAAAGGGGGTGAGGCTTGATCCATTTCATCAGCTGAAGGGCCACACCTTCACAAAACACAGGTTGGCACAGGAGAGGAAATGAATGCTTTCTAAGTTTGAGGCAGTTTTTAAAGCTGTTTTGTAGAGGTGAAGCATGTGAGAAACTTTGCATCTCACAAACAAAAGAAACTTGTAGAAGTCCTAGATATCCTGTTGTAGTGGGATGTGTAATTCATGATAGCAAGTATGTAAAATAAATTGAACTGGCTTTTAAAAGGTGGATTTGAGTGTTCCTGTTTTTGATCTAAAGACAGTAATAGGTTTGGGCTTCAGCTGATGATACCTAACCTACTTAGAGGCAGGATTCTGCTTAGTGATAAATAACCTACTTCAGAGGCCAGTATCTTGTACACAGTGGGAATTTCTTCATGCGATCAAGGCATACACAACCATGGGAATACTGTAACTTGGGAATGATTTATTAGGTGAGGTAGTTGCATATTCTTTATCAAAGATTATCAGGCTTATGAGATCTGTAGGAGTTTATGGTGAAGCTTCACAGTGAAAGACAATCCTGATTCTTAAATTTTAGATGTTTAGTAATGCTAGGTCTGAAAAGATAACATACTACTAAGTTTGTGAAGAACTGAAGGTAAAAACAAAACTAAACATCAAACTGCTGATTTACGTGGTTAGAACTGTCTGGTAACGTGAATATTTCCTAAATAAGCAAGTTGTGATAGAAGTGATGATAAGTAAGGAAAAAGAGTGTCCCAAATTAGTAATTGCAGTGTAACTTCACAAGTCATCTGTTAAATCCGTTTTGGGTGGCTGGAAATGTGTAAATTTTTTAAAATCTGTTGCTTCATAGTAAAATCAGATCAAACTTGGCTGATTGGAGAGCAAGCAAATTGTATCACAGATACAGCACTTACAGTGCTGGTCTCTTTTAGAGAAGCAGACTTCTAAGTTCTCACTGCTCATTAGCAATCAGCCTAGAAATCATCCCAGATTTTCCTATTGTAGAACCTTAAATTCTGGGTTTTTTTGGCTGAAAGACAGTATTTTCTGTTAACCTGGTCTGTTTCTGTGATCAAAAGCAATGGCAGATGTCTGGAGGTGTTTACAAATGAGGCGTATTAGAACCAAGCAGTGAAAAACTGCAGATGGAACTTGCAGAGCAAGTTCCAATGGTGTCAAACTTGGTTAGAAAATACACTTGAGTTATACTAATGCCGTGTGAAACTTGAGCTTGAAGCAACTCAAAGAATTTTGTCTGACTTTTTTTGGGTCATAATATGAAGCATTTTTCATTTTAATTAGTTTTAATGCTGCCAAGCATTTGGCAGCCCTGGAAGCTAAATCATATTATTCACAGAGCAGGTGCATTGCGAGTTAGTTACCATTCCCTGCCAAAGTGTCTCAGCCCTCGTTTAGACTGGTCAGCTGCTCAGGCAGGAAGGCTGCTCAGTCCTTGGCCTTTATGCTGGGGTAACCAGCATTAAGAACTCATTGATAAATGTTTTCTTCAGGCTTTCTCTTTTTTTAAAGCCTTTTGAATCACAGGCTACACTGTCTTCAGCTACTATGAAACAACCATTACTTTCAAGTATTTTGTAGCATGGAGTTGGCCAAGAGATTAAATTATTCATATCACCAAATAAGTAGGAATAACATCTTAAAATATTTTATCCCTAGTAAGTACTGCAGAAGTGAAGGACACTGAAAACATTTCTCTAAACAGGCTTATACTGATCCAAAGGCTTTTGTTCCTCCCATGACCAAAGGTGCAAGAGTGAGACAACTGCCACAGGATCCTACAGTTCTTGTTTCACTCTTTGACCTTTGCAGTGGTACACCATGCAGTAGCACTTGCTGCAGTACTACTGCTGTGTTCACAGGGCAGAACACTCCATGATGACAGGGCCCTCTCCTCTGTTTTGATTCATGGGGAGCTACAGACATGGAGTGGGATACCTTTCCTTCCCCAGGGGATGATTACGCTTGTGTCATTCTGCTTCTGGCTGTTGAGATCTTGCTTTTGCAGCCACTCCTTTAACAGTCCTTTAACTGTAGCATTTCCACATTGCCAAACCAGGATACTTATTTAGCCCACAATCTTATGGATTTGAGTCTATTCAGTGTTTTAAAGGCTGGTAGGAACTTTCTAACAAGTAAAATTTAATGTGGTGTTTGGGATATTTATTTTTTTTTAAGTATTACTCTTGAATGTTAACTGTAGCTCTTAATTTGTGGTGGTAATTTGCTAAAAGATTTTTTCTCTTGCTAAATTTTAGGCTTGGACTGAAAGATCAGCAGGAGAGAGAAATTATTCATGTTGTCCTTCACTGCTGCTTACAGGAGAAGACCTATAATCCCTTCTATGCATTTTTGGCCAACAAGTTTTGTGAATGTGAAAGACGATTTCAGGTTAAGAAGAATCTGTTTCTATTTTGTTTTAGTGTGCTTAGGAAGACAGTTATTAAATACCTGAAAATGGTTGCATGCCTGCTATGGTCTTGATCCTGAGGAGGAATTCTCCTGGTGTAGCTATGCATTCACTAAGGCATACTCATGGCCAGATCTGAGTAGGAAATAAAGTAACTGCTGCAGGTTTGCTTTGCTCTGTTTTCTGAATTTTAAAAGAATTTAAGAGTCTGATCAAGCATCTGTTAATCAGCTCATTAGAGTTCATAAAGAGTAGAAAGTCAAAAGATTTTGTTGTGTTGTTATTCATGTAAGTAGTCACTTGATTTGTGGGTTTGTTTTTTTTCCTTTGACACCTAGGTGACATTTCAGTTTAGTATTTGGGACAAAATCAGAGACTTAGAAAACCTGTCAGCTGCTGCCGTCTCCAACTTGGTTTCACTGTTGGCTCACTTAATAAGGACAAAATCATTGCCACTTTCAGTTCTCAAGGTTGGTATGTTTTCAAAATAATTCTGTTTTCCTTGCATTTGCTAGTTGTATGAAAAATATTTTTTCTCTGTTACCTGTCTGGTACTTTAGCTGTTCATGATCATAAGCTAAGATAAAACTTGTTCCAAATTTACTGAATAAATCCCATTGATTGCAGTAATGGTATCATTTGAGGAAGAGGGAACCTGTGGTGACACAGACATACAGAAGGTCTACAGTTCTGTATCCAAAGCAGTTGTGAGATTATTTTCTTCAGAATACTCAGAGTAAGGCCCCTTTATTAACAGGCTTTGTCAGTAGACTTTGAGCTACGCTTTTTAGTTGATGTTGATTTTTATTAGACCTGGAAGAAATCGACTGAGCACTTGGGTTTCAGAACAGGGAGTCCATAGAATTTATAAGAAGAATAATTGAAATGTGTTAAACAGGTAATTATATAGATTGTCCTAGGTATTTCTGAAGTGTTTCTCTAATTGAGAAATTATATCCAGTATTCTGGTACCAGTAGACTATTCCTTAGAAACTTCTCTGCTTCCTTATTGATTGGCTTTTGGAGGCAGCACTCTCAGGTGATTCTTCTGTGCCAAACTTAAGATTCAGTGTATGTGGGAAGCCAGTTGATGTGCTAGAAAGCTTTTCTTTTGAGAATTCAGCTGTGTGAAACGCTTGATTTAATCTAATTCTCCCTCCCTCTCTCCTAGGTAATTGAATTCAGCGAACTAGATAAACCCAAAGTCCGTTTCTTGCGACAAGTATTGAGCACACTGTTAATCAAAACAGATGCTGAAGAACTTACTGACATTTTTGTGAGGTAAGTGATTAGAGAGATCTCCAGGGAACCCTTGGTGAGTAGTAATTAAGAAGTGTGCTTATTTTGTTTGGAATTATACAGTGCTTTTTTCTGAAGATCAGCCATTCATCTCTTGAGTAGTAAGCTCTCCTGGCTGAGTGGGGGGGAAGTGTATAATTTGTGCAGGAAGTATAGGCTCTGACCTAGATAAAACTGTGATAAGTTTTATACAAAATAAGGCTTTCAGATATTAAATGTTATCATTTTAGTCACAGAATTTTCAGGAGCAGAGCTCTGTAAGCACCTGCTTTCCTTATTGCTTTACCATCTGTGTGCAGTGGGATTCATTCTCCCAACAGTCTTTGCTAGAAGGTCTCATTAGTGTAAGAAGGAAAAATAAAGAAATACTAATGAGGAAAGATTTTTAGAGATTTTTTTAAATATTTTTTTTTATCAACATTGTCAGGAAAATCTTACTTTGGTAAGTGGGATAGAGTTTCCTGGAGAGGCTGGGAAATCTCCATCCTTGAAGATGCTCGAGACTTGAATGGATAAGATTTTGAGCAGTCTGCCCACACTTGGATGTTAGTCTGGCTTTAAACAGTAGGTCAGACAAGTTGCCAATATCCTTTCTGACTTAAATTATTCCATTATTTTGATGGATTAAACTTGCGATGTCACAAGGTTAGAAAAAATTAGATGATGTTTCAAACTGTTAGCACTGTAACACAAGGAAGCTCAAAAATGGAGTTTGCCTTGTTTGCTGCTGTAGTGTAAGTGTTTACATGAAATCTAAGACTCCAGTTTTATTATTGAGGATCAATTGTATATTGAATGTGTTTAGGCTGTTTAGCAAACCAATATTTGCTAGTGATTTGAAAGCCTCCTCAGGAAAGCTCCTTTTATAGGTTTTTGCTCCTTTTATAGATTTTTTTGCTATGTTTCATTATCTGAAGAAGATATTGAAACTTCTGAAACAGTGGAAGACTAAATACTGGTTTTGCTCTGTATCTTTACAGGCTATCAGACAACCCCAAACTGGGATTGCTACGGGAAGGCTTGAAACTCTTCCTTAACCACTTCTTGCTGAAAAATGCACAAGCCCAAAAAAGTGCTGAAGAAGTTAGCTTATTAAAAGAAAGAGTTGAACTAGCAACCAAGGCTTTGCAAGCAAAAGAATCCAAATTGAAGCTATAGTTCTATTTTTTCTAATAAAGCTTGTGGAAAAACTGAGTCTGCATGAAGCTGCAAAGCTTTATTAGTCTTTCAAGACCCAAATAATTGAGAATGAGGAGAACAGTGTTACTCTAAAGGATCCATTTTTTAATGTAAAGTTACTTTGCTCTTCACACAAGTTAAGAGGTTTAACTGAAGGTGGTGCAAGACCTTTCTGAAGAAAAGGAAAATGTTTTTGTCACGTACCTTTTTAGTACAGGTGGTCCATGTTGATGGTCAGTATCTGCAGATGTTGAATTTCTCTACTCTGATAGTCCCAGTCAGCCTCAGTGTTCTGCATTGCATATTCTAACCTTTCATATAAAATAATTCCAGGATCTCTCACTACCTTTTGATAGCTAGTCATTGTACTTGCCTGAAGAAAGAGGCCACTAGATGGCATACGTACTGGGGAGTCAGTTTTGTAATAAATCGACTTTTTCTTCAAGTGTTGAAGTTATCTGCTAATTCTGTGAATTGTTTACCTGACTAGGTCAGGAAGAGATCTTCAGTTGGATTCAAAACTGTAGTAAAAAGACTTGAAGATCTGACTTTACCCAATTCTGTTGGGTTTAGAGATCACAGCATAGTTTTATTGCTCTTTTAGCCAGGTTTTTGCAGCTTTAAAATTGGAATTGCCTAATCACTAAAAATAAGATTTTTCTAGGCTTAAAGAATAATATCAATATGAGTCTTTTAATAAGAGAATACCTTCTTAAGAATTTGCTAACATTTTCCATTAATATGTTTAAAAAAAAAAATTCATGTACATTTCTTTCTGTAACTCTGGGTGTTAATGGTTTGTTGCTTTTGTCACCTTACCACTACAGATTAAACTGCAATTTTTCTAAAGGTGTTGCTGTTTATATTAGCTTTACTCTAGCTGGCTTGCCAGGAAGGGAAGGACTTTAAATTGGGGCAGGGAGAAAAGTACTTTCTTGTCTGCATTGTGCACTGCATCTGCATAATTTACCTGTGCCAGAGCTGCCAGCCCTATTTCTGTAACCAGGCTTGTCCTCTGCTGTTCAATACTCCATTCACTAATTGCATTTGATATCAACTGATCTATTCTGCTGCTTTGTAGTTGTCCCTGTTGGGAAAATTTGCTCCCAGTAGGCATCCTCCAGAAAAATTTCTGTTTTGTAGCAAGAAAAGTAGACAAGAATTTTTAATTTTATTACAACTTTTTAATCAAAGAGCTGAATGTAGAATACTCTGCTTGCTCAGTTGTATGAGCAGGGTTTCTAGGGGGAGGAGTGCTTCCCCCTGTAGACAGGGAGCTGTTTTTCTCGCCTTTCCTCTGCTGGAGATGACAAATTGTAGGGAGCAAGATGTTCTGGCAACAGAGAAACCCAATTTCCAAGTCCCAGGTTATGCTAGCAGAGTAACAACTAACACTGAAGAGATTCATGTCAAAAAAACACAAAATGAGATGCTTTCTTTGGCCTGTTTCATACCACTGGCAGCTCTTCAGCATAGAAAACTGACCACTTCCCCTCAGTTGTATGTTGTATGGAATGGGGAAGAGGAAAAAAATGTAGTTAAAATATTTCTAAAATTCCTATAAATTAACAAAAGTATAGGCAGCAGAAGGATTGACACTGTGTGGATGGATACAGAAGTCACAACTTCAGAGGGGGCATGTTAGCAGCTCCCATACAACCATGCCAAACCTGGTAGTTTAGTTTTGGAGACTGAACTGGGAGAAAATCAGTTGCTAGAAACTCTCTGCTGTGGAATGCGTGGGACCTCAGTGAGTAAAAATTGCTCCCCCTAGACTGCACCTAATTGATTACCTTTTTTTTGCAGGAGTTTAGGTAAACCAAACATTTCAATGTGTTTGCAGTTTAATAATGCATAAATGGAAACACATTGCTGAAGCTGGGAGGTTGAGGCAACTTCGCTCTTCAAGATAAATCTTGAAACATCTTCCTGAAGTGTAATGTCACAGGCTGCTTGCTCTGTGTTTGAATATTTCCCTTGGTGATCAGAACTGACTACCCTTTGCTGCCTATGGAAAGATTGCCTGGTGTTTTATGGGCCTGAGCCTATTCACTTGCTGTACCTGCCTGGGGCAGTGTGCTGCAGGTGTTGCCATGCAATTAGAGGAGATGGTTTTAACCTTACAGTCTAAAATTACAGTTGCTAGTTTTTTTAAACTGGAGCTTGACTTAGTTATTATTTATCCCAAACAGCTACTATGTTTTGTTCAAACTGACAGTTGTTAGAGCCATTGCTTTGTTTTTGAAGAAAACAGATTTTACCTGCCTGCAGCTTTTATGTTTGTCACATTTATGTGTAAACATAAATTCCTTTGAAAAATTACATTTTCAAGGCAATCAGCCAAAATGCACTGCCAGTCCACAGTGGTCATGGTACAAGGACATTTGCTATGAGTGATTCTGCCAAAGTCCTATCCTCTCACTGTGATTCAGTGAAGGAATAGCTGTTAAACAGAAATTTGACAGTTCTAGGATAAAAGTGAATTCCCAAGTCTTGGATCTTGCCATCTTTGACAATTTTTTTTCCATGGTCCTACTGACCAAACTGCCAAAGCTTAAGGGAGGTGGAAGGCCTGTCAGAGTGTGCTGTTGATGTACGTACACATCTGCAAGCTGCTGCTGCTGTGGTCCAGTCACATTCCAAAGATATAAAGCAGTTGTGAAAAGGAAAGCTGACATGATTTTAGATTCATTTTTAAGTATGTATGTATTTCTAGATTATGTATATAATGTTAACCCTGGAGAAAAAACTTGGTACCAGCAGAGTACTCTGCCAGTGTCTCCATGTAACAGGGTTGTCAGTGCTATCAGGTCTCTCTGTCACAGCAGCAAGTCATATCGTACAAGCAGCTTCCTGCAAAGCTGCACACTAAGCACTGACTGCTGGAGAAGTTACACCAGACAGGGACACATTTTGCTTTGTCTGCTGTGGAATAAATGTTTGCTCACACATGCAAAATGCAGCATGTTGAGATTTCTTCCTATAATTAGCCTGTTAGCTGAAGTCAAACCTCTGTGAAAAATGTTCCCTGATTGTTCCAGTAAGTGAGTTGCCACTTCAAATGTCAAAAATCCTTCTGTAGAGGAGGGCTGGGGAGGTTGCTACTTCACAAGTAAGAAAGGGCTTTGAATTGGTAAAAATACACCACGCTGGAAAACAGCTACGTAATCCTTGTGCCTGACAAGCCAGCGGAAAATACAGCGTGATCTGCTTTGGGTGCATTTCACTAAAAGCCGGATGTTTTATTTTTCAGCTGTATGGCAGAAGATTTCAGTTCCCCTTTTAAACAGCACTATCCACTCCTAGCTATTAGCACTGTTTCAATTTTTGTTTTCTTTCAAGCAGGACAGAGATGTTTTCAACTTTCTCTGTTTTCTGTATCAAAATTAACGGGGCAGTCAAGTCTGGTTTTTAGCTTTGGCCCGGGTGTTAACGCTGATAAATCACAACCCAAGTCCTTTTGGCAGGGTTTTAACACCGCACCTGAACGGGCCAAGTATCTGCAGGGCTTTTGCAACTTGACATTTTTCCATTGTCCTGCACGTGGGGGGATGACGGGCGGATCTCAGCGGTGCTGGGAAGGCGCAGCCGCGAGCGGGTTGGCCCAGCCAAGGTGTGCAACCCAATACTGCGCCGAGAGCACATCTGGGATCGTTTGATTCCCATTGTTCGTTCTGAGGGTGAACTTTGCACGTGAACAGTTACAGCACGGGGAGCAGCGCGGTGCCAAATGTGCACGACACTGCTCTCAGCTTAATGAATATGCAAGTGGCAATTCTAAGACCCAAATCTTCCTTGCGTTGGGTGTAACAGCTGCCGAGTGCCCAAATGTGTCTTCAGTGCTAAAGAATCAATATGTGGGTTTTTTCCTGCAGTAGGTAAAGCACTTTTCAGGAGACAGTTTGATCTGTAGGATCACTTTTCCAAAGGCAGGGGTGTTTTGCCAGAGATTTTTTGGGTTGGACTGAATTCAGGAAATTGTAGGTAGAGATAAGACACTTTTACCATATGCCACTTGCTGTGATTTCGTCTCCTTCACCCTCCAGTAAAGCTTGGTTTACCTTGAGCCTCGCAGGCATGGACATCACAGCTGCCTGTATAAAATAGTTGTGCTATCCTCAAATTCTGATGCAGCCTGCAGCCTTGCTTTAAAACTAATTACAGGAGCTTTCTACTAATTGAAATGCATGCACAATTCAGAATTGGATACCATGTGGTTTCCTTAATAACCCTTTAAGGAAATGGAATTAGCATCTATCAAGAACAAGTGTAGAAAGAGCCAGCTGGCACCAATCATTCCTTAAAACTTGAGTCCTAGGACAAAACAGGCCACGCACCAAAACCTCCAAATGGAGGACTTCAAAGTGAATACATTAAAAAATTACCAAGTAATATAGCTAGAATGAGGTACACTGTAAGATTGCAAATAGAGACATTTTTTAAAAGTCTTTTTCTAAAGCTCTTTGTCAGTAACAGTGAAATGGTGGTTTCATTTTCACATGTGAAAGATTTCCAAGAATGACACATTTTTCATTAAAAATTCCATTATGGACCTTTTACTGTTCAGATGGTAAGAATACCTTCATATCTCCCTTGGGTGTGCCAGCACACAGCCCTGATGTGAAATAACAGGGAATACTGTTAGGAGGCAGTGAAACCCACTGCGGGAACAGCTTGCAGTTAGTCAGCCAATAGAGCAATGCATTTTTCTAGTATAGAGACAATAAGTCAAGGTATGGTCAGTGTCACCTGGGGGAAAAATAAGACATCTTGACTGCATTTTCTAGGCTTGCATCTTATTCACAAAATCCTCTCTCCTCCTCAGCCAAAACTGAAGATTCTGGGTGGATTTTAATTATTTTTTCCTTACGCTATAGTTCCATTCAGCCTTAAAACATTGACTAGATGGTGTTTACTTTCTGAATTACCTAGCTAAATGGTTCATATTAAAATGGAACTAAGCCTGTTGGTCCCTTTAA